TGAAACACTTAATCGAGTAATCATACGACAAAATGGCTTACATCATTTTGGAAAAGAGCTGATACTATTAGTTTAATAAGCACTTAAATTTTAAAAATTATTTCGTGCAACTCGGCGTTACACTGCTGGACTGATATTAACCAAAAATAGCTAAGAACCACCGCAAAGAAACTGGCTTTCAAATCAAAAAACCGCATCGACATCAGTCCATTCGTTTGAGAGCTACGATGCCACAGACAGACATACACACACACAGACATCGAAGTAAAACTTATAACACCCCTATTTTTGCGTCAGGGGTTAAAAATGAAATAATTGTATATATTATAGTCTATAATATTATTATTCACACTAATTTCCTCTTGCAGTTTGCTATTTTCCTGCATCACAAGGTACCTAGCTTCAAAGTAAACGCTATTTTAGTGTAGAGGACACCTATTGTACTTTTTTCTATTCTTGGTACTTTGTTAATTTTCTTAGTGGGTGTACAGTAAAGTATTATTATCAATTATTTTACAATTTTTATATTTCAATTCTCTCGTTCCTGTTACTGTAGTGAAATACAGAAGAACCATTGAAGAATAATAATAGAAAGAAAGAATAATGCCCTTATGTAAGTATCCTATTGTTAAAAAAATCTTTACTGGAACATGAAAGAATATTTACAACTTATGTTATGTACGATAGTGACTGCTTTAGTAAAAACCTACTAAAATTATTGTTTGTAAAGGCTAAATTTGTTTTTATTTAAGAATTTCATTGATCTTATAATGTTAACCAAAGGTTCAAATGAGAAAGGTGGTTCAGCAGTCTAAAGTTAACTAGAAAATTAAAATTGCTTATTGTTTTTGTTTATATATGTATGTACCTATCAACATAATATTTTGATATGCTTACCTTTTCAACGTAATCGAATGTTATTAGGAACGTTTATGTAACATGTGCACTCAAAGACAAACTTACGTAAATTCCGCGCCCTTACAAAACTACACACATACACTTATATACATATACATAATTCGTTGGCTTACTATTACAAGGTATCCCTAATGGTGCAAAAATAGCTAATAATGAATTTAACCTACTTCTAATTGTCATATTGACTTGAAACTTTGCAAGTGTTTCTATTTCCGTTGATAGTACAGTGTTTCGGTATTGTTGACCTGATATGATGGTAAGGCCAGAAGGTGGATAGGTGGAACTCTTCAACGGCTAATAGTAGATACTTTGAGTTTGGGATTATTTTGTTTGGTTTGACAAGCGTAACGCTTTAGAATTCTTACTTTGCTACTACTGTTTACACTAAAAAGGGAAAAATAAAAACTTTTTAACAAAAAAATAAAAACCGACTTCAAACAAAATCACTAAAAAGTAAAAAATAACTGATTGGTAGTTTTCATTTACTATACATACCTAATCAAATATTTTCGAAGTCGGTGTGCTTTGGCTAAGTAATTAAAGCCTACCTTTTTGTTTTTTTTTTATCGTCGGGAAATGCATTTACGCATACCACCTGATCCCCCAGGTGATGATGTGGGGCTCACCGGCTAGAAGAGCCGGTACTACCCATTAAAACCCGACATCCCTTCCCCCCGCCTTAGTGGGACGCCGCAGGATCGCTTGCGCATAACTACTACGGCGCCCCGGCGGCAGGTCTGCCTAAGTACTAGGCAGACCACCAAACCAATGGGGCTGCTCCACAGTCAACTCTGCTACGTCAGAGAGGTACCCGGAGCAGCCCCATAAAACGAAAACACCGCCCACCGAAGTGGGCCACCTCCAATCGGCTGCAGAGGACAGGGAGAGCGGCAACGAAACACCGACACTCCTCTTCCCCTGCAGCCCCACCGCGTCCGCCATCAAACGGTGGCGGCCCCGTCTAGGCCGCGGAAGGTAGGGAGAACGGCGCACCGAAATACCGGCACTCCTCTCTCGCCGCCGCCTACCCCTCCGCCGAATGCGGGCCTGCGACCACAGTCCCGCAACCGGCACCCATCATCCGGTTGTGGGACCAAGCGGTCCCACCACCGGTGGCCGCAACGTCTTCGGCTCGAGGCCTAGACGAGCGGCACCATCCAAGCCATTTGGTCCGCGCCGGATTTCTCCGGTACCATCCGCCCCTCTAAGCGGGTGGCATGCCCCTATCCGCCACCTGGGGACGCGCCCGGTAGGAGTTGGCTTCTCCCCCGGGAATTAAAGCGTACCTATTAAATACATACCTAATCAAATATTTTCGAAATCGGTGCCAGCCCATACAAAGCGAAGCACACCGACTTCGAAAATATTTGATTAGGTATGTATAGTAAATGAAAACTACCAATCAGTTATTTTTTACTTTTTAGTACTTATGTTTGAAGGCGGTTTTTATTTTTTTGTTAAAAAGTTTTTATTTACATTATATTAGTACTTAGCGGCTTACTCTCGCTCCTTGTTGCTTTCTGTATAGGTGTCTCACAGTAAACTATGTGTTATTCCAGCTTCAGTCCATTTTTGTACTAAACATCCAAATCCGTCTAGCCTTCAGAATAGGAGGAACAAACATACAAACTTTCACACATAAAACGGCAGTTCGACAAAAATAGTGTTATAAATCGCTCCTCCTATCACTAAGTCCGCGATGCGTGATATCGCTCTCTAGGACAGCATTCCTGCGCAGACCGCAGCCACTCGCGCGCCTGAATTAATCACAATTATGTGACAGAGTGTGATTGTGATAGAAGGATGCGCTTTGCACGAGCACTGTCGCAATGCACTTTTATTGCATTATGTTACACCGTCATAGGTTTCACTGTGTGTTATTTATTATGTTTGTTCATTGTTGTTTCTGGCTTTTTGGTATTTGTTTTAAAACGTTTGTGTTATATACGACACTGTGGGTTAGTGTCGAAGGGCGCAAGTTCAATCTCAAGCAACGGTAAAAAAATTCTTAGTCATAACATCTTATCATAGATATATAGATCAGTAAGGATAATTACAAGGTTTATTTTTTTTAATAATATTTTTGCCAAGTTAAAAAAAATTTTTACATTTTATTTGACATAAAATATACATTACATATTATTCTGTAATTAATTTTATTATTTTTTACTTCCTGTGTAATGTATTCTGTCTCATTCTCTCGCTGGCTTAATCCTATATATGAGTTTAACATATCAATTAAAAAAGAATCATCAAAACTGGTTACCAAAGATATAGTGTAACATACACATCGACAAAGAGTAAATAAATCCTAAATTGAGTACCTCTCTGTTTTTGAAGTTGGTTAAAAATAATTTATATCAAAAAGCTTTTATGGTTTTTTTCATTTTCAAATAATTTTTACACCATATGCGATCCTATAGGGCTATTACATACACCAAAACTACCATGTATAGATAACAATAGGGCCTTACTGTTTCGATAACGTCAGCATGTAGGTAATGAGGTACCGCGGTGGTCCAGCGAGAGACGCCAATATTTCACGTCGCAGCAATCGCAGTATTGTGTCATATTAAACAAATAGAACACTATTTCTTGCAAATAAAATAAATTTCTAAAAGTTTAGTAGATTTTTTTTAAAGAACTGCGTATGTCTGACAGACAGATCGACAAAGTGACAGACATTGTCGAGGTAACTTAATGCACTATACAGTTAAGTTTTAAATTTTTAGATATACCAAGGTATTCTAAATATTAAAAAATGGCCCCCCATCCTAAAGAAGGTTCTCTAGCTCTGGCTTACAAAATGTCTTATCGACTGGTCCTACGTATACTAGTATAACCGACAAAATCATGAAAACTGTTTTTTTGCATCAATAGCTTTAGAATAACCTATATTTTATACCCTGTGAAATTTATTTTAAAATATCAATAAATTTCAAAGTTACAAACTTGTCATTTGGTGCAAGTGACGGTATTTTAAACCACACGACTGTCAACATTGATGCAAGTCGCTTGCACTAATGTAGATGGTTACAATCCACGCGGCACAAGCGTGTAAGTGACCTTTACATCAGTATACAGGTGGCGCCGCTACAGAGTTAACGTGTTACATTGGTACAAGTGCAATGATTTCAGGTTTATTTATGCAATTGTTAAAAATTACCTATTTTTTATAAGGTTTATGTTTACTGTGATAATAAAATAATAATCATGAAGCGTTCACGAGGTCAACTAATGACACATTTAGTAGAAAAAAAAATGCAGCAAAACTAAAACACTCGAAAATTTCGAAGGTAAGAATGAATTTATAATTTTTCAACACAGAATGATAAATTACGATTTAATTTAATTGTTTGTGACTGTTTTATAAATTAAATAATGTACAGTTTATTTATAATAATCACTTGCACTAGTAGACAAAGTACGTATTCTATTTTGTGTACTCGCGTATATTGGTGCAAGTGATTTTTTTTACGGTAATTTATTTATTAATAGTATAAACTTTTTTATTTTTGATTTGATTTTAGAACCACTTAAATTATCAACATGCAGATTTTGTGAGGAATTATAGCTAATTTTGGAAAAAATAATATGTACCGAATTAGAGAACCGCTTGATTTCAATGAAAATCTACAATTCGCGAATGAAACTTATCACATAAGCCAGATAAAAATGTTATACTAGATATGTAAAATGTTATTTTTTTGTTTGTGAATTCCCTTTTGTCTAATTTTTGCATTTATATCAGTATACACGGCTTGATTTGATGATTATTGCAAATGTTTTTTTAAGTATAATGATATAAGTTACATTAGTCACCAACATTTTTGACATGAGTGGGATTCAATTAAAATACATAAATATTTTACAACATTAAGTAAATGTTAGGAATGAACTACATTATTATGAAATATGTTTTTAAAGAACTTTGTTTTTATTTACGTATTATCAAAATCCTAGTATTATTTACGCTGAAAACTTTCCCTTAAAAACTAATTATTATTATTTTAAATGCATGTATATCATATGTTTTTTAGATTCTCCCTTCCCTCCGCGTGTGCGGAATTATTTACTGAAGAATGTCGTTCATCAATACTGTTGTTAATTTAAACAATCCAGAAGACTTTTTCGAGGAAACACCAACAGTTAAAAATTTATATCGAAATTTATCAAACAATTCGTCAGATTCTGATAGTTCTACTACATGTTTTAAGGACCAGGAAGTTTGTGTGATCGTTCATAATACACAAGAAAGAAAGTGTGAACCACAGCTTTTATCTTCACATCAAAATCTTATTACTGGACTAAGTGTATCTAAGCAGGAAAAACTTCCTAAAGATGATATTGAGAGCTTCACACCTATACTTTTACCATCAGTTTCTTTTTCATCAGCCTATCAACAAACTGAAAGCGAGTTTTGATTGTTTTCCTTTAAATTCAGATTACACTGATACACCGCTAAGTAGTCCGACAAATGCAAAGACAAAAAACAAAAAAAGAAAGATAAGGGCAGATTACGAGAAAGATACCAAAGCAGGTGGCTAAATGAGAAACGAAAATACAACTTAAACAGAGGCTTAGAATATATAAGTAGGACTGGAAACATAACTAAACAGAAAGAAATGAAAGCTCCTAGTAAATATCCTAGAAAATATGCTGAAAAAGTGGAAGAAATGGCAAAGTACGATATATTTAACAATTTTTGGACAAAAAATATCTAAGGATGATATAAAACTGTAGTCGCTGTTACTTTCGATTTGCACAAAAAATACAAAGCTTACCACATGGCAATGTTAGCATATTTTATTATAAGAGAAAAGTATATTTTCATAATTTTACCCCATTTGACATGGGTGATCTGCAAGGGTATTGTTATTGTTGGGATTAACAAATTGCGAAAAAGGAGCTGTATGTGTTTTTGATTTTTATTGGTATGAGGGTGAGGGAAGGAGTTAAAAGTTTTATATTCTGGTCTGAAAATTGTGGAGGCCAGAATAGAAATAGAATGGTTTTCTCTTGGAAATTTAACGTGAATATTACTAATAGATTTCTTGTTGTTGGTCACATCCAGAACGAGGGTGACAGTATTCACTCCGTAATAGAAAAGAAACCAGAAATGTTTTGATTTATACTCCAGATCAATGGTCTCTTGCCTTCAAAATGGCCACTGCTAATGCAAAACCATACATAGTAAAAGAAGTTACTCAATCTTTAATATTTGATTTTAAGTCGTGTCTTACCTTTTTTGATAACTGGGAAGAAGAACTGTATTGGAGAGCTTGTGATGTGGAATAAAATTGTGAGGTTAATGTTCAGGCCAAAGATTTATTTAAGCTCAATTACAAATATACTTTTGAAAAAGATACCTATAAAACTATACAATGTGTAAGAAGTAACACACGAACCGCCATACAAAATGTTACTAAGAAATTTGATAGTTTAAATGTAGCCTTACAAAAGCTTATTAGCAATTGATAAAAAAATACAAAGATCTTCAAGATCTTTGTATTTCGACTGTAATTCCTGAGCGATAGCATTTATATTATAAGTATTTGAAAATTAGATCCGAGAATACTGGAGACCTATCTGACTAGGCTATATTTATCAGCCTTTCTCTTTTTTGTATTTTATTCCTACCACCGCTTCGATTGTTGTTTTATTTTACTTAATTAGGTGACTAAGCGATATTTTATTTTAATTAGCCAGAAAAGCCAATAATTAAAGAGTAGTTACTAAATGAATAATTAATTTAACGATCGTTCCTACTTAAGAAGGACTTGGTTTTCTTTTCGTTTTAGTAAAATAATAAAGTTTTATTTTGATTATTTAGAAAATGCGTTTGTTTCTTTTTATGTTTTTAATAACTTTGTTACTAGATATTAATAATATTTGAAAGACTGATTAAATACTAATAAATATTTACTGCCCTTATAACTAGGTACCTCATATTACAGTTGACGATAGTTCCTACCTAAATTAAGAATAATTGTTTCTTTTTTAGTTTTAGTTCCAAAATGGTAAAACCAATAATTTGTTTGGTTATCATATTATTTGTAATAAACCTTTATTATTTTTAATATTTTGGTTTTATTTCCCGTAAACCTAATGAAATTTATGACTAGAGTATTACATAGAAAAGTAATACAAGTAGTTTTCAGTACTTAGTAAAGTGGTGCAAGTGATAAAAAATGATAAAGATCATTATTTTTAATATCACGAGCTTCAATTATTTATCAGTAACCACGGATATGCATATGTTATATTGATTTGTCATTCTATTTGCCTTGGTTTGCAAAAAAATTAGTACACGTATACTGATATAAGTGATCACTTGTACTACTTTATGTGTTTTAATATTTAAGGAAGAATAGGCTACGCAAATACAACTGACCCGATTTTCTAAAATAACAAAAAATATTAAAATTTAATTACACAGCCCTTTTCCTATAATACTCAGGTATTACATTTCAAGATTTCAAAGATTTCTGTTGAACTATATCAAAGTTACAAGCTTTAGAATGTTTGAATCGCTCTCCTGTAAAGTTGCTTTTTTGCACTTGTACTAGTATACGTAGGACCAGTCGTTATGACATTTCCCGAAAAATAATATAGTAAAAAATACGACTCGCACTTAGCAGATTTTTTTAAATATAGAACCTTTGACATCTTGCAAGAATAGAGAGAGTAAATATAATTCAATGGCAATTATACCTAAGTAATTTCTCCAGCAAACGGATTGTGAACAAATTCATAAACAATCGCGCCCACACTGATCACGTTATCATTAACGCGAGCATTGGTGAAATAAGTGTTCCACTATAGCATTATCCGCAATATCCGTGTTCGAGATATTATATCATCGTAGGGCTAGGTGCAACCCGTGTTACGGCTGGGGTATAGGAGGCGAAATCTATACATATAATAAAATTCTGAGTCGAATCTGTACATTAAATATTTTTTGGAAAATCTTATTGATTATTATTATCGATACAGAGTCTGAACCTATAGTTTTTAGAATTTTTGTCTATCTGTCTGTCTGTCTGAGACCGCATCATGAAAAAACCACTGGACTGATTTTGATGAAATTTGGTATGATGATAGTTGGATATCCGGGTCGACATACCTTTAAGATCTTTTTACTGTGTGAAAATATTTTATCTCTGAGAAATCTATACTAAACATTAAAACTTGTTAAATAAATTATATATCATTATTTACATAAATTATACTGTTTTTACTTCAATAATTTATACAAAAGTAAACTATGCTTTTTTTGTCTGTTTGTTTTTATGATGCAATGATACAATAATACATATTATGTATAACAATAATAAGTTTGCGGTTAGAGCCGTGGTAAATGCTAGTATTATTATAAATGATGGATGTATGTAAACTGATTTTTATGATCTGTTTAAGGAATAGGAAAACTTAACTAACTAAAGATCTGTATTTCCATTTTGGAAATATCGGGTGGTATTTTAATTGAATTATTGAATTAATATGGGATTTGGATGAATACACAGACATAATATGACCTTTTTTGTTTTTTTTTACCGTTGGAAAATATATTTACGCATGTGGGACTCACCGGCCAGAAAAACCAAGACTACCGACTAAATCCAACAGAATCTTCCCCGTCTTGATGAGACGGCGAGGTAGACAACGACGACCAAGGGGTTGCTTCAACAGTCTATTCTGCTATCAGACAAGTATCTGGAGCAACCCGCTCACAGAGGTGAGCCTCCTTGTACCTACGTTTCTTGGCTTTGGTGCCCGGTTGGATTGGTTGAATGAGCACAAACGACAAGATGAACTGACCTAAGGTAACCAATAGGCTATTCACAATAGTTAAAACATAAAACAACACAAAGTTAATAAAAATAGTACTGAAAAAAACCCAGTAAAAACCAGGTAAAAAAACTTTAAGTAGGTAATTATAAGTGTAAGAAATTATTATAAATATATATTAGTAACCAATATGTCGGAGACGGTCATCAATACGGTCGCTAAACGAAGCGCGGCACGACGCCTGAGTGATGGCAGCACCTTCGGTATTATCGCCAACACTCGGCGAGCTTCGTGCTACGACGGAGCCTAGCTAAGGGAGGGGTGCTAAGAGGGCTGGACACTTGCCTTCGAGCCGAGCCAAGCTTAGGACCGCTCCACTAGGAACTTGCGTTCCGTATGGTCTATACTTGGTAATAGTGAAGTGGTATATGGCTGTGTAGTGAAGTGCTGTTTAACTATGTACAAAGTGATTATTGTTAATTTGAAATACAACTGTGATTGCATCGACTTTCATTTGAACCAACACTTCCCATATAACGCCCACTGTATAAGTCATGATAAAATAATGGAAAACAATAGAGAAAATTAATGCTGCTTCGATATCAGAAGCGGGATCAGTGTTGGTTCAATTTGCAAAAAGAACTAACTCTGAGTGAACAATGAAGTGCAATGTTTGAGCAACAAAATGTCAGTATGTGATCTCTTATCGAGGCCATGCAAATGCCTCGGATGAAGAAGAACGTCAGGTTACACGAGTTTGACCCTGACAATATGGATACGGACGCAAGATCTTTGATTGCGACTGCAGATTTGTGTTTTTGCCAAATACCCTCCATACGGCGGCCAGCTTAGTTTTAAGTCAGTAAGGAATTAAAACGATAAGGGTCGACGTGGCTATCACAATTTGTATACCAGGGAATAACATAGGAAGAGTACAAGGTGATTTTCAAGGCGAGGTTTGTTTCCACCGAGACATTGGCCGGTACGCTAATTAATTTTAACAGTGACAAACCAAATGAAAAAAGAAACTCGTTACGTACGCAAATCGCCTGATGACGTCACTGACTAATCGTTGGAAAGACGCTAGCAAGAATCAGATAGCAATTGCGACTATCCTTGCTCACTTATGTCAGTTTAATTCGAAATTACAACGATTGGCCTTTACTACGAAAATTGCTTCGCGAGATCGACTGCAGCAGAGATTGCACGCATTCTCACATTTGAAACGCAAAAAAAAGTGAGTCTTAAGCGGTCAGAGTGTAGAAGCAAGGTAAATGACAGTGTGGAACGACCTTCGATGACAGCAACGGCATTGCAGCCTGCAGTGAAGTCTCTGGTGTGCTTCAAATGTGGCAAACCTGGTCACATCACTCTCCGGTGCATAAGTAGTGCCAGTCAAGTGGACGGCAGCAATATGAGTGCAACACGAACGGAACGACGCGTGGATGTATGTGTTGTACAACCATCTTCGAATGCTCAATGGCATAGAGGTAATCTGTATTGCTTTTGTTATACTCATGGTGCTGAATATTCGTTAGTAAGATAACATTTAGCAGTCAAATTGTGTGGTTAACGATTTTTGTCCTTGCAATTTCTAGTATTGATCAAAACAGAATATTCCGCACAGAGT